CCGTCTTGGAAATCCTGCGTGGGCACTCTGGCGGCCTCTTGGGGCCTCATTGTGCTGCTGGAGACTTCCTGGGGCAGCCTGGGGGGGCTCCTGGGACCGTCGTGGGGCCCTCTTGGAACTTGTGCACAGTTCTGGGAGCCTACGGGGGGAGCTCGGGGGAGGAGCTCGGGGGAGGCTCTGGGGAGGCCCCCGTGTGAGGGGAGGCGCCACTAGGGGAGCCTGGGTGCCAAGAGGCAATGCAAGAGGGGGGAGGTGGCGGGACGAGTAGAGTCGGTGAAGGCGGGGAAAGGCGGAAGCTGAATACAGGGGGAGGAATGGGGAAGAGGGACGGTGAAGGGAGATGGCGGACGTAAAACAGAGATGAAGGCCAGGAGGGGAAGGAGGAGGAGGAGAAGGAGGAGGAGGAGGAGAAGGAGGAGGAGGAGGAGGCGGAGGAGGAGAAGAAGTAAGGGGAGGAGAGGAGGAGGAGGAGGAGGAGGAGGACGGAGGAGGAGGAGGAGGAGGAGGGGAGGAGGAGGAGAGGGAGGAGGAGAAAGAGGAGGAGGAGGAGACGGAGGACGAAGGGCGACGACGACGAAGAGGAGAGGAGGAGGAAGAGGACGAGGGAGGACGAGGAGACGCGGAGAAGATGAAGGATGAGGAGAAGGATGAGGAGAAGGATGATGATGATGATGATGATGATGATGATGATGATGATGATGATGATGATGATGATGATGATGATGATGATGATGATGAGGATGAGGAGGAGGAGGAGGAGGAGGAGGAGGAGGAGGAGGAGGAGGAGGAGGGTAGAGGGCGGAGGGAGAGGGGGAGGAGGGTATAGGGGGGGAGGAAAAGGGGAAGGATGCAGAGGAGTGAAGGGGAGAATGTTTTGTATGCCTTCTGGAATGGAGGTGTCTTCGATTTGAGGTGTGCACGAAATATCTTGTAAACTCTACGGGGGCCGTTCGGGGACTCGTTGGGGCCACTTGGGCGTCTACTGAGAGCCTCTGGGGGGCCTCTTGGGGGCTTCTTGGAAGCTTCTTGGGGGATTCAAGGGGCCTCCTGGGAACCGCTAGGATGCTCCTGGGGCAACCCTGGCGCCAAGGGCGATCGGAGGGCCTCTCGGAGGGCGCTTTGGCGACCTCTTTGGAGCCTTAGGGGGCCCTCTTGAGGCGCTTCTGGTCCGTCTTGGGCGCCCTGAGGCCCTGTCAGAGCCTCTTCGGAGGGCCTCTTGGAGCCGCCTGGGACGCTGGTACGACAAATCAGTGAATATGCTAAGCATCTGCGTTTTTCTACGGGAACGTGTTGATTTGGGCCGCTCAGGGTCTTGGGGGCCTCTTGGGCCGTCTTGAGACCACTTTCCGCCGTCCTCGAGCAGTCTGGAAGCCGTCCGGGACGTCCGGAACTTCTGCGGTGGGTCTGGGCACTGCGGGGAAAGCTCCGGACAGGCTCCAGGGACGCCCCCGGGGAGGCTCCGGGCGGGGAGGGGGCACTCGGTGTGCCACCGTGGCCCCTGATGTGCTGCGGCCCCAGGGGGGCCCCAGGGCCGGGCTTCCAGCATACGAGAGGTATGGATTCACACACATATATATATATATATATATATATACACATACATACATACATACATACATACATACATACATACATGCATACATACATACATACATACATACATGCATGCATGCATGCATGCATGCATGCATGCATACATACATACATACATACATACATACATACATACATACATACATACATACATATAGGTATATATATATGTGTATACCTATATGTCTACATGCATAGAAATACATATGTTTGTATGTATGGATGGATGGAAGGAAGGATGGATGCATGGATGTGTCTATGTATGTATGTATGTATGTATGTATGTATGTATGTATGTGTATGTATGTATGTATGTATGTATGTATGTATGTATGTATGTATGTATGTATGTATGTATGTATGTATGTATGTGTGCGTATGTATGTATGTATGTATGTATGTATGTACGTACGTACGTATGTATGTATGTATGTATGTACGTATGCATGTGTGCATGCGTGCATGTATGTATGTATGTATGTATGTATGTGTATGTGTATGTGTGTTTGTATGTATGTATGTATGTATGGATGTATGTATGTATGTGTGTAGATATGTATGTATGTATGGACGGACGGACGGACGGACGGACAGATGGATGGATGGATGGATGGATGGATGGATGGATGTATGTGTATATGTATGTGTGTATGTATGTATGTATGGATGGATGAATGTATGTATTTATGTATGTATGTATGTATGTATGTATGTATGTATGTATGCATGCATGCATGTATGCATGTATGTATGTATTTATGTATACAACCATGCATGCATGCATGATGTGTGTGTCCATGCATTTATGTATGTATACATGTATGTATATCTGTATCATGTATATATGTAGTTGTGTAGATATAGATATATGTATATCTCTCTCTCCCTCTCTCTCTCCCTCTCCCTCGCCCTCCCGTGCACTATTCTGCGCTCTCGTGAAGTCGTCTGGGGCCACCTTCTGACCCGCGTGGGCTGTCTCGGGGTCCTCTCGAAGCGTCGCGGGCCCAGGAGCCGAGGCTCCACAGCCCAGGACCTACGCGGATCTCGAACAACACATGCGGCGTGTCCCCCAAAGATGGACCCCGAGACCGAAAGCAGACACCCATGAGGCCCCAGGACGCCCCCAAGAAGAGGCCCCAAGAGACCCCCTAGAGGCTGCCAAGAGGCCTCGCAACGGGCTAGACGCCCCAAAGAAGCCCCCGAAGGACCCCGAGAAGCGCGGGAAAAGCCTCCAAGAGGCCCACGAGCGTTATCCCAACAGACTCTAACAAGCATCCAAGAATCGTCCGACTCACAACCTAGACACGGGGACGCGATGGGCCGAAGGCCAGTATGTATATACACATGCGCACAAATAAAACTGCGTACGCGCGCTTCGAAGCACTGGACACGGCAACATAACTTGATTTGGGCCAATGAGAAGCGCTGCTGCTGCTGCTGCTTGATCGTGTTTGCGGTCTTTGCTGCTATTTGCATAGTGCCAATTGCTGCACACTGTTGCATACTGCCCATTGCTGCTGCATTCTGCCGCTTGAGCATTCCTTCTCGCCTTCTGGGCCTGACTTGGGACACACAGTGCGCTTTGTGAGGCCCTCGAAAGCTGGAATCGTTTTGGGAACTCTCGTAGGCCGTCCGAGTGCCCAGCTCAACTTGAGTCCTTTCGAAACTAACTTGGACCGCCTTGGACCCTTCTGGCAACCATCATGGACTCTACTGAAATCTCATTCGGCCCAACCAGACCGCTTCAGGCTGTTCTCAAGGTTCTCCTGGGCTGTCTCGGAGCCCTCTGGAGCTCTCTTGGAAAATACGAATAGAAGCCGCACACGCGCACACACACACACACACACGCACGCACGCACGCACGGGCTCACGCACGCGCACACGCACCCGCACCCGCACCCTCACCCGCACCCGCACATGCTCACGCACACGCGCACACGCACACGCACACACGCACACACGCACACAAACACACACACACACACACACACGCGCGCACTCACGCACGAACGCACTCTCTCTCACACACCCACACACACAAACACAAACGCACGCACGCACGCACGCACGCACATATGCACATATGCACGCACGCACGCACGCACGCACACGCACAAGCACACGCACACACGCGCACACACACACGCCATAAAAATCTATTAAGGAGCAGCCCGAAGACCAGAGCCCCTCCTGAGCCCAAAGCGGTCCTTGTTTCGGCGTCTTGACTGTACGCCAGTCAACGAGCATGTTCCCAAGGGTGCCCTTGCAGCCGTGCGCTTTCGGCCGGTCCTTAGGCAACCTTGACCAGTTCAAAGAACTTCAACTCGGGCGCCCCAGGGGCTTGCATCTTTACCGCGCTTGTTATACGCTTGCATCCTTACCGCGCTTGTTGCGCGCTTGCTACTTTGAAAAACAAAAGGGGGATTGCAACCAAAAATGAGAACGCGTTGAGATCCCTTTTGGCTGTTGACTGGTTTGGTCCTCTGCTTTTCTCGCCGCGGCGACGACGACGATTACTCTCGTGCCAGCAATGGGCGGTGCCCCCCTCTCGCAGTAGCTTCGCCTGCCGAGGGGAGCAGTAGCCATGGCGCACGCCTCGAAAAGGGGCTCTCTTCGAAGCCGACGCTGAGAATATTTGGGAGGCACGGATGGCCACGCCACCCTGGTCTCCTATGGATACAGTCAGAAAAAAACACATCGCCCGTATGTGTTCGCGCTTTGCGCATGCAAGGTGACGGCCATAGCAACGAACTCACACGAACAACAAACGAGGCCGCGCCTGGTTCGTACACGTTCCTACGTGAAGAACCTGCACTGCTACGTTTGCCACCTCACTGCGGGCACCCCTTCTTCTCGTTTGTGCAACACCACTCCTTCTTGTCAGGGCTCCATCCAGCCTCCCAGTTGGAGTAACCTGCGTCACAATCATAAGGCTTCGATGAAGCTTCTGGGCAACCCATCTGCTTGTTCGGACAACACCAGTCCTTCTTGTCCTGGGACCAGCCAGCTTCCCAGTTCGAGTACCCAGCGTTGCAATCATACGGCTCGGACGGCGTCTCCACGCATCCCATGTGCTTATTGGAGCAGCACCACCCCTTCTTGTCCGCAGACCACCCCGCCTCCCAGTTCGAGTAGCCGGCGTTGCAGTCGTACGGCTCAGACGGCGCCACTGGAGCCGGCGGCGGCGGGGGCGGCGCCACGGGAGCCGGCGGAGGCGGCGGGGGCGGCGCCACAGGAGCCGGCGGTGGCGGGGGCGGCGGCGGGGGCGGAGCCACGGGAGCCGGCGGGGGGGGCGGTGGCGGAGGAGGCGGCGGCGGCGTCGTGGGGCACCCTCTGCCTGCCTGCAAGCAGCAAGTGACCTTCTTGGAGACATCCCAGGACGGCGGATCGCCCTCCGCGCAATCGAC